ACTATTTTCACCCATTTCCAACCACAATTTGAGGTTTATTTCTTTCTTGTCTTGTGTTTTTTTTTCTTCCCTCTCTCTCACGATCTTTTTGTTTTAAAGATTTATTAATCTAGATCACATTCCAATTTTTCATAACATTGTTGTTGTCCAAAGGTAAATATTTACCTTATGTGTTTTTTCTTTTTCTTCTTTACTCTTCCCCCTCACGATTTTTTTTAATGTTTCTTAATTAATATGGTAGATTGTGTTCCAATTTTTAAGAGCAGTATTATTTAGCAACTTTGAACATTGGTGAGAGATAAAATATATATACATAATTCATTAACAAATATCATTCATCGTATTTACATATTCAAAAACTAACTTTGATTATTGAACATATTTTTTTGGACAATACTAATTTTGGTCTTTTTAACAATGTAAACAGGGCAAAAGAAAAAGATACTAGAATAAATATTAATTTGCTAGATTAAATAGTCCATTAAAAGGATAAAACTTCCCTTTTGAAAATTCAAGAGAAAGCTCCTCCTAGGTAGTCCAATAATATATAGACAAGTGTTTTTTTTTTTAATTTTACATATTTCCTACATGGTTCACTTGTCTATATGTTACCGGATGACTCAGAGATTCAGGAGGAAAGTTTTTGCCTTAAAAATATGTGTCAACATCATTACGTGCATAGATGATCAGAATATGAAAATATTGACCAAAGACAATAAATTGAAAATTAGAATATAAAAAGTTTTGTTAATTTATTTCTAAAAGTTAATTAAAAAATTTATGACTTGACGTTTAGTAATAAATTTCAAAGGTTTTTTTTAATTTTAATAGTTAGACACTTTCTTTTTTTTTTTAACTTCTACGACTATATACAGATTCTCAAAATTTTGTATCTTTTCCACACTTATCTGATGTCTTCTTCCTCCAATTTTTTCCCTTTTTAAGTTTAAAACACACATGTACCAATCTCATATAGATATTTTGGAGTTACTTTACAATTGGAAAATATATTTTACAATCAATTTTGTTACTATTTTTGTTTTAAAATTTTATGTAGGATTAGAATTCACAAAAAATTTTAATTATTTAGAATTTTAATTATAATGTATGATAAAATAAATTGGAAATAAGACTGGTATGTATAAAAAATAAGTGAGAGTGAGAACACAGCGATGAGTGAGATGAATTACTGTTAGAGGGAAATGGCGCAGAAGACCAATTCTTCGCTCTGCTCTGTTCCGATTCTGTTTCTCCTCGCTCTTCTCTTCACCATTTTCCTCTCCCTTTTCCTCCTCTTCACCCGATCGACACCCGCTTCTTCTGAATCTCACATTTCCCTTTCTTCTTCACACGCATCCATCAAAGTCTACGTCGCAGACCTTCCCAGATCCTTCAACTATGACCTTCTCGACGAGTATTGGTCGATTCAGTCGGATTCCAGGCTCGGGAGCGACGCAGATCGTGAAATTAGAGCGGCCCAGATGAGGAAGAGCCTCGAATTCCCTCCGTATCCGGAGAATCCGTTGATCAAGCAGTACAGTGCGGAGTACTGGATCCTGGGGGATCTGATGACGCCACAGCCGCATCGGGCTGGATCTTTTGCTGAGAGGGTTTTCATGGCGGAGGAAGCCGATGTGGTTTTTGTGCCGTTTTTCGCGACTTTGAGCGCTGAAATGCAGTTGGGAGTGGCGAAGGGGGTGTTCAGGAAGAAGGTGGGGAATGAGGACTATGAACGCCAGAGGAATGTGCTCGATTTTCTGAAGAACACCGACGCTTGGAAGAAGTCTGGTGGGAGAGACCATGTTTTTGTCCTCACTGGTATGTTGTGTTCTTCTCTCTCTCTCTCTCTCTCTCTCTCAAGTTTACCATTAGAATTATTCAGAAAAAGAAGGCTTCGTGAGAATGATTCATGTTACATCAATTGTCATAAACTCATTAAAACCTACCATGTTAGTCTAGTATTCATTACGCTGTACCAAAAGCAGTGTAATTGGTAGTAGTTTTGTAATTTTAGTTTGAGTTTGTTGATTGGTTTTAGTCTGAAGTTACTTAGTTGGTTTCGATCCTCGACGAATAGAGAGGGTTAATTTCTTGTACTAGGCGTCTCTTTCTGTAAATAAACACGCTTTTGTTTCAAGTTTTTGGAGATTTCTTCAGGAACTGATATTGAGTGCGTGCTTTAGCATCTTTTGATTTAGTCCTCTGGATTGTCAGGTAATGTTAAAACTTGAAGCATTGTTTGACAGACCCAGTTGCGATGTGGCATGTCAAAGCTGAGATAGCTCCGGCTGTTCTTCTTGTGGTAGATTTTGGTGGTTGGTTCAGGATCGACTCCAAATCATCCTCCAACGCTTCCTCATCAGATATGATTCAGCACACTCAAGTTTCGCTACTTAAGGATGTGATTGTTCCATATACCCATTTACTTCCCAGGCTACACTTATCTGAAAACCAGAAGCGTCGGACCTTACTTTATTTCAAAGGCGCAAAACATAGGCATCGGGTTAGTATTCAATAACTTTTACAGTCAGTATGCTGCATCTTAGTTTGCTCTAGCAACTTAAGATCATATATACTCTTATGTTGATAATTGGCTATTGGATGTTATTTCATTTTAATTAATTCTATATAATCTTTTGACCACCATCGATTGGCCCGGCTATTTAAAGGGGAGACTTATGAACCCATATGTCCTTTGGCGCCATGAGTTCAAATCATGATAGCCACCCTTTAGTAGTTAGTATGTTAAACATTGGCATGGATTTTTTAATACTGTAGAATTAGATAGTTCTCTTTTGTGAGATTATTCAAATGTGTGAGTTTTTTTTTTCCTTGATAAAAATGAGGCTTTCATTGAAAAAATATGAAAGAGAACAAATACAAAAGGGCAAAAGGGCCCAAAGACGCATACAGAAAGACAACCCACAAACAGAGTCTGAAAGCTAACTATACAAGAAGGGACTCCAATTCAAAGAAATAAGACCTAAAGGGTAAGAACAAAACTCCTTAGAAAACAACGTTGAAACAGATGTGTTAAACCTAGCAATAGATCACACCATCTCAAGAGACCACTCGAGATACCTGAAAATCCTGTTGTTCCTTTTCAACCAGAAACCCCAAAGCACTGTGAAAAAACCCATTTGCCGAAGAATCCAGCCCTTACCACAAAAGGGAGGATTTCAAATGTGTGGAAGCTGCTTGAATGTCCATAGTAGTTAGAAAAAAGAAATTAATATGGATGGTCTCGTTGCACTTCAGATCCTTTCATTTTATACTATTCTAGAGCTGAATTCTGCTTAAGAAATCACTGTTGATCTTGTTATGTTTGCTTTTCAAAGTATACTCCAAACTTTACATTTCATAGTCTCTTCCCTAGCAATACAAGTAGCTGAATTTTTTCCAATGAAATAGGTTTCTCACACATCTGTGCATGCACTCGCACACATATAAACCGGGATAGCTTGAGCCATATATATTTATAGGTTAAAGTTTTATTCTTAACTTTCAAGTACTGGAAACCATCATAATTTAATGAATAAGTTAACTCTCAGTTTGCACATATCATACTGACTGACTATACATGAATCTGATCAGGCTTTTTAGGTGCTTATTCATGGATTTCTTCAGAGCTCACTAATCTTTCTCTGTTTAAATTTAGTTATTAGGGGTCATTTGGTAATTTGCTCATAAACAGTTTTTGACAACTGTTTTAATTAACCATGTCCAAGTGCCTTATAACTAGTTATAAGTATCAACTTTGTCACACTCTTCTCCATCCTGTGATTTTTGAATGAAGATTACTGCAACTGTTAAAAGCCAGTTAATTTCTAGTCTGAAATATAGAAAACAATTCTTGGGAATGACTTTCAAAGCAGGGTATTTACGTATCAATTGCTCGAGCCACTCGAATTTTTATGAAGCTGATATTTTCTTCTACTTTTTCGTATTTTCCATTAACAGGGAGGATTAGTCCGGGAGAAACTCTGGGACTTGCTGATTAATGAGCCTGATGTTATAATGGAAGAAGGCTTCCCAAATGCCACAGGAAAGGAGCAATCCATAAAAGGGATGAGATCGTCAGAGTTCTGCTTACACCCAGCTGGTGATACCCCAACATCGTGCCGCCTTTTCGACGCCATTCAAAGTCTCTGTATACCCGTAGTCGTGAGCGACGACATCGAGCTACCATTTGAAGACATGGTGGATTACTCAGAATTCTCTGTTTTTGTAGCTGTTAGTGATGCATTGAAACCAAACTGGCTTGTCAATCACCTCAGAACCATCCCAGAAGAGCAAAGGAGCGAGTTTCGTCGAAATATGGCTCGGGTTCAACCCGTTTTCGAGTACAGTAATGGCCATTCAGGTGGTATTGGTCCAGTTCCTCCAGATGGAGCTGTAAATCACATATGGAGAAAGGTGCACCAAAAGCTGCCTATGATAAAAGAAGCCATTGCTAGAGAGAGAAGAAAACCACAGGGAGTGACAGTTCCTCGTCGCTGCCATTGTACCTAATTTCACTGCCATTTCAAATTTGTACGTGGTCCTTTTTTTCTTTTTCTTTTTTTGTCTTAGATTGCATTGTTTAATTAATTCAAACCCATAAATGATAATCTTTTTTTTTCAATTCTATAATGTTACAAGTCTTTATTATTATAATACGCATATTGAAGGAGATGAAGGAAACAGCTTTTGAACTAGTCTATGATTTTTTTTCCTTTTTTTGTTTTTTTTTTTTTTACCTATGATGGTAGGTTTTGTAAGTTACTTTAAAACACTTTAAAATTCTACTATAATTTAAAAAAACTTAAAAGAATAGGATTCCTTTGTTTTTTTTTTCCTTTTATATTTTGTCTTCAAAATCATGCTTATGCTTATATGATGCTTATTTTTTACTTTGAAAATTGGCCAAGACTTCAAAAACCGTCTATTTTTTATATTAAAAATTGCTTTAGAATTTAAAATATTTTTAAAATGAAAATTTTAGACAATGCAGTTGAGGAACAAACTTGAATCTTTTAAGCAGAAAATTATGACCAATAGGTCTTAAATTCTAGATTTTTGTCTTTTAAACTTGATTAAGGTTTAAATACTGAGAAAAACAGAGAGATGATTAATAAACTACTAATTTTTAAAAAACAGAATTGAAATCGATATTATTACCATCTTTGAATGAGTTTAATCCTCCAAGATCTTGTTTTCTTGACCTCCACCTTATTTTTTTATTCATTAAAATTTTTACTTCTATAAAATAAAATTTTAAAAAATCGATTGGTAACATTTCTGTACCGAAACATGGTAACTTTTTCTTATTTTTCGTTCTCTAAAATTTTAAATTAAAAAATAAATTTTTATATAAAATAAAAATTTTTTAAAATTATTTAAAATTTTTCATGTTACATTCATTTTTTAATATTTAAGATAGCATTCTATCAGGAAAATATTATAAAATAATATGTTCAGAAAGATATTAAAAATACTGAACAAAAAATTTGATATTGTTGTTTTCAAAACTTATGAACAATTTAGAAAACATTTATTAAAAATAACCATCGCCAAACACTTATATTTCTCTAAACTTAAAAACGAAAAACAAGTAATAAGAAACATAAACGTACAAACAAGCCTTAATTTATAAAAAATAAACAAAGGAATAATGTCTCTCATAGAAATAGAAGATTTATATTTGATTACTTCTTTTGTAAAAATGAATGAACATTAATCAATACAGCATCATCAGAGAAGTGAAGATCTATAAATCTTCAGCTACTATAAACCTATACAGTTCCACTACACAATTACTTTTTTGCCCCTCAACTGGACCCTACAACAATTTTCACCACCCTAGAAATTTGCTAAAAAATTGCAGAATATCAGGGCAAACTCATGGTAAACTGGATGGCCATGCCAGCCCATCTATTTACAGTAATGAACTTGCAAGTGTAATATGAATTTAGAAGAGAGATCGTTTCCTTCACCGATCCAATTTCTCCAGATCTATATATGATGCTAAACCAAAATCGAGCAGCATAGCCCCTTTGGACCTTACGACAAGATATCGTTTTCTTCATTATTCTTCTGTGAAGAAGCATGGTCTGTGGTGCCACAGAGCTCCCAAGGCCCATGGAAGTTCTGCTGCAGGCACCAGGTATCTGGGACACTCGAGAAATGTGCAGACATGAACTTTCTGAATCTCCTCTTGTACTCTTTCGGAGAAATCACGGTGGGCAATACATTTTTTGGGACGAGGGAGGATTTTACCCATGTCTCTAGTTGCTTGTCCCATGTGTACTGTCTGAGGTAATCGATTATCCCACATACAAGCTCCTTCTTCTCGGCATCAACCCCGACGAGCAGAGAATAATCCATAACGTTTATCGACTGCAAATTTTAAGCTAAAAAACTGTAAGAAAAATGCAACTTGCAGATGAGATTAAAACCAGATCCACAGGGGGAGGGGGGACTTTTTTTGTTGTTAAGATTGTGACACTTCCATGACATTCTCTCTCTTTTGCACCTAACTTACCACTACTCCCTCGGGCGTAAAGTTTAAGTTGCGATAAATGTAAGGTTTGATCCGAAACTAATTTCATTATGGTCCCTAAACTTGGCATAAAAGGTTATTTTAGTCCTTACCGGTTAATTTCTCTTTAAAAACTTAATATATTCTAGTTCCTTAACTTGCACCCAATACCCAACCCATTACGTGATGCTTTAAACACTTAATCATACCGACATCTACTCATCAGATAAATAGACAAAAATGTGTCTTGCTCACGTCTCTATTTAATAATTTATTGAAAATTTGTTAACAAATTCATGGGTTCCATCTCAAAACTATTTGACTATGAGAGAAGTAGTCCATGTCTATTAGAAACCATTGTAAAGTCCCTTATCTTTTCAATATGGGACCCTTAACATAACATGGTTTTAGATACGAAATCTATGGACTTGGGAGTTTAAGAACTAAAATAGACTAGGCGTGAGAATTTAAACCTAAATTTAATCATTAAACACAACTTGTCAGAAATGTATGAAAATTTGAGCAGTAAAAGAACTTCAATTTATGTACATGCATGATGATTAATTAGTTTTGTACTCACGTTGAGAAAAGTGGTGTCATTCCAAATTGCCCGTTGCAACCGACGCTTTGATTGATTACTAACATATAGGGGAGATGAGTTCATGTCCTCCACAAAGTTCTGGTCTAAGAGGACTTCACCTAAACCCTTGGCAGCTGAGTTGTATCGAGCATGTAGAGCTCCTTTAAGATCATATTGTCGAATTATGTTGCGGCCAAAACTGAGGTTCTCCATAACCATCAAATCATGCCTCATCTCTTTCCCGCCTTTCGGCTCTCTCACCGTTACCTGAAAAATAAACGTTAACTCAGATGACGGAGGGTGGGGGGTGCTATAAAATGTCAAAGAGAGATACCCTGTCTATCAAACCTGATAGATTCCAAGAACTTTAGCAAGGCAGGTCTGGTTCCCCATGTCAAATGATTGATTGATGTACTTGAAGTACTCAGGAGCAAACTTCATAAATGAATCATACTCCGTCCTCTTGATCTCTTTGATAATCAACCTATCATCGAGTGTCTTGGCGAAAAAAGATTTGCTCTTCCCACCTTTTGCGTTCCAGTTTATACAACGGCTTAGGGAACCTATGTAATAAAGCTCAGATGGGCAGCATCGATTCCGAAGATCACGGAACTGATTGAAATATGGACAATTCACAAGATATTTCCCCTTTGCAAGTGACTTTATGACCCCTTCATGATCTGCCCGTTTGAAAGTCTCCGGAACTAGAGAGTCCAACAAATTTAACTTGTCAAAACTGGAGAACCGAAATTCATCCGAAGAGATGCTCGAGGAAGAATAAAGCAAGTCTGAATCTGAGGATCCGTTGGAGGGCACGTGATTTAGGCTTCGTGTACTCAAACTTGGTTGTGGAGCACCTCCGTTACCATCCTCATTATGAGAATCTGTTTGAAGGGATACATCTTTCAAAAAAGCGAGTACGCAAGCAACTATGCTTGAGAGTTCACCCTCATAGTCTGAAACAATAAGATTATCACTTGTAAGAGGAATGTGTAGCTTGTGTCCTTCTTTGTTGATGAAGTCGGAGGCTTCTGGTAAGAATTTCAAAGTATAGCTACTGGATTCGAATTCGGGAAAATAACTTCTCGGGATTTCCCTCATGTGTATCTTTCGGAACTCTGAGAACGGTGTCCAGAACCATTCACCGAAGGTCAAATTACAATTCGCACTTGTTGAAATTGGAATGGTTCTATCTACCTGCAAAGCAGCAGATGATAGAACCCTTCCTACTTGAGAATCCTCGTCACCTGAAGAATGACAGTTGAAGCCATTTGACACAGACTCTTGGCAAGAAAGTTGTGTGGGGCTCAGATGATCCAGGATTGGTATGTTCGTCGATTCAGTTGCTGAGGATACATTAATTTCATCACCACCAGATTCTTCATCCGAACCTTCAACTGCTATGTCTTTCATGGGAAATACATTTTCATCTGGTGATATATTTCTGGCTGTATTATCGTTCTGTACAATTGATTCCAATTCCTCGTGTCTTACATTGATAGTGCTATTCACCTTCGATATAACCGGTTCTTGTGCAACATTTTCATGAGTGCCAGAGTCCCTTGTAAGACCCAGCGACATTAATGATTGCAAGCGTTTGTCCCAAATACATGATTCTAGCAGCAGCTCCCAAAGTAATTGGTTCAAACCAAGATATTTGTGAAAAGTGAAGTCTGAGTTTCCTTTCTTACTAAGAGAACTTTGAATGTTTGCCTGCCATTTCGTTTAATGAAAGAAAAATGGAAAGGATAGCTAAGAAAATGATGATCCATAGAAAAAATAGAAGGAATTCAAAAGAACCATAGTTGTAAGACATTCCAGAGCACTCCACAGGACAATGAGAAGCTAACCTCAAATTCTGATCTTTCTTGGTTTAACATTTCTTCAACCAAAGAAAAGTCTTTTAGAAAACCTTGAGGGTTTACATTTGAACTTTTACGTTCGGAGCTCATCTTCTTTAGACAGCGTGCAATCTCAGTGAAAAGTAACATCCCTCGAGTGTAAACCTTGAGCAGATGCAAAAGAATTAAACACAATCAACACAACTCAAACAATGAGTAAGATGATAGAAGAAGCCAATTGGAACACATCAAAAAGTATAGAAGGGTGACAGGAAAATAGATAAGAATACATACATTTTCAGTTTCTCTAATGAGATGACCTTGTCTCAGTGAACTGTTGAATTCCAGTATCTGAGGCGGCATAGCGACTGTATAAATTGCAACCTCAGAATATCTGAACATAGCTGCCATATGGCCCAGTCTGCAATCCACAAGGATAATAGCTAAGGACTACCGACATTTTACGGGGGCAGGGATGGGGTGGAGAAAAGAGAGAACAGAAGCCTAAAAAGTAAATTATAACATGAACAGAAAAAATGGAAGTGCAAGTGCAAGTGAAATGTCCAGACTCCATGACTATGGCAACACGTACCCGAAGAAGTACAGGAAGTCCCCAAACAAAGAATGGCCACAACCCGATGATTTACTAGGTAAAGTGTCATCAGAAAAACAAAGCTCCAAAAACTTTCCAAATGACAAGCTGCGCGCGGCCGTGGAAATCAACACCCTTTTAGAGGACTCTGAATCACCTCGCTTAGATTTACATTTACTGCAACGACTCCACATCCAAAGTTTTCCTTCAGTTTCACCTGGCAAAACTTTTCCCATTGGAAGCTGTTTGACTTGAATGGAAAGTTGCTTTCGATGATGAGCGTAATAGTAAAAGTGAGCTTCTGGCAGTTCACTACAGACCGTGCAGGGGTTATTCTGCAATTGCACCAATGTTGGGTCAGCATCATCTTAAATGAACCGCAGACTAAAAATTAAAACAAACTTGGGAAAATAAATAATAAATTCATTTTGAACCAATATTCCTCCTATTGGTAGATGATATATAAAAGCCAATAAATTATAAAATTTTAAAAAATAATAATAAAAATAAAGGCTGTAGGTAACAGTGTCATGACTCCATCGCTAACCTGATTTAGTAAATTTTCTCTCAAAAATTTTCCAAGAGGAACATCAAAATTCTTGTAGAACACAATATGTGAAAAATGGCTTTGTTCACACATTGTTCCTTTCGAAGCATTTCGACTCGACATCAAAACTAAAATACTCTGAGAATCCAACAGTGTTTTCTTATCATCATTATTCCGCATGGTATCTTCAGAAATGTTACAAGCAACTTCCACCTCCCCAAGGCTTTCCAAGGTTGATTGATGGGACACAGACTGTTCATGAACTGAATTCTCTTCATCAGAACTACCCCTAACTTCCACATCAAATTGATTGGTTGCCTGTGGAGTAGATGGAACTGAGTAGATAGAATTGATTGCCTGCCTGGTTGATTGACTCAGGTCGTTTCCATATCCAAAATAAGAAGACAATGACTGATAAGGAGATGATAAAAGGAAACTTTCTCGCATGACTCTCCTCAATGGCTCAGAAATGGATGAGAATCCAGAAATAATGGCAGGATTATATGGTTCTGGTTCAGAAGACATTATTGTCTTTTCCACCAACTCCAAGTTTGATCTGTTAGAAGCCTCTTCACGGAGTCCACTTGAAATATGAATATCAGTTGAGTCTGTCGGTGGTTCATTTTCATCAGTTGATTTCTCAGCTTGAGGTACATCTGGGCTACAAGGCTCTAAAGGTGATTGTGGATCGGGTGAAATAATAGCTGGTACCCCATCAAATGGAATAGTTGCAAACATAGCTCGCTGATCAACAAGGAAAGAAGTCTCTAATATTAAGTGATATGCCACAACAACAGCACACTGCACAACACATTTAATCCTCTTCAGTTCATCACTGTGAGCTCCTTTCAGCAAAATCTGCAGCAGGTTTACAGAAATGGTTCATTTGCACCCAGAAGACAGTCAACTAAATCCAATTTTCAATTTAGAATCTAATCCATCATGAGGAAAGGCAAGATCAAAGTCCAACCATGGATGTCATAGTACTAAATAGATATAGAAAGAATCTAAATGCCATTCTCATTTGCATAGGTGACTGATGCAACCAAAGAATCTGTCTCAAACCAATAATAAAAAATATCAAATCATAAATAATAGACTAACCGTACAACCCAAACGTGTTGGACAACCCTCAATAAACATCAAAGTTTTAGTTGGCCTCTTTCCTCCCTCCAAAACACCTGCATGTTCTTCTACAATTTTTTGAAAATAAACAGCATCGCATTGTCTTATCAATTGGCACGATAAAGTATCAGATGTTAAAATTGGTGAACCGGTACAAAGAGCTATTCTCTCCAGACGGTGGAGTTTCATATCAAGCACCAATGTCATGCCTTTCTTGAGAATTGCTTCTTGGATAATTCGTGGAACAGTTTTTTCAACTAAGACCACATTTGCAGTGCAGCTTTCAATCATCTCTATAACAAAATTAGTATAATCATTTTCCTGTGATCAGATAGAAAAATCAGAAGTCATACATTGTGTTTCCCAGTGTTAAAATCATCAAAGACTGAAACATCTAAATTTGAGTACCTGCTCCATTGAATTAAATGAAGAGAGTCCACTTAAGGGCTCATCAAGCTTGCCACGAATAAGTAGTAATTTGGGGTTCTTACAATGTGTTGGCATGTGTTTGTGAGCTGCATGCTTCTTGAATACCATTCCCTTGACAAATTGACTGCAAAAGAAAATAATTATTGAGGTTCCTTAACATAAAGTAAAAAGTTCTGCCACTCGTCTTACTAGCAAAAATTTTAAAATAAATTAAAAATATTAAAATAATAATAATAATAATTGCACACCCAAAAGGTACATACTCCCCTGAGCTCTGACATCTTCTTTCCTGTTCATTCCACACTTCAAATGTGTAGAAGACACTATTTTTTGTGTTATAGGAAACATAAACTTCTAATTACAATGAATGAGTGAAATTTTCTATGATGTCTGGACACGAAAAAGAGCGAAGAGTGGTCACAAATGTAATAGACGAAGCATAGAAGAGAATTCTAGATGCTAAACACATACACAAACCAACGTCAAATAATTTTTTTAGTTTGAGCATCAAGAATACTGTCAACGTTGTTCTTAAGTAGCCTAGATGTATTTCTCCTTGTTGAATTTGTTATTCTCTTGTTTAGTCTTTTTCGTCTTTTCTTCTCTCCCTCATGAGTTTTTATCCAGAACAATTATTCCTTTTCATATTTTCAACAAAAAGTTGTTTGTTGTTTGAAAATATTGTCATCGTTGGTCCCATAAAAACTCTTTTGGTAACATTCACAATTTTTATTATGCCTAGTCATACTTTGTTGAAGCAACCTGTCTCTCTCGGGGCTTGTCATCTAAAAATCCAATACTTCAAAAGTTCAGACAGGGGTAAGGAAAATGATCTCTTCTCTCTCCTCTCCATGATTTTTTTCTTCCGAGCTAGAAGCCATCCCCCAAGTTCATCTTTAGTTGATTGCAAGTTTGATTCTAGCTGAGTTCATTTATGTTAGAAACCTCTTAAGACCAAAGGCACAATGGAGATCAACAGTAGTCATAATGAGAACCAGCATTTTTGCATTTGGGATGAAAACAAGATTTTTTTTGTAGAAGCCATGGGAAAAAACATCGTTCTGCCGCTTCATCTGTCACATTTAGTATGGTTCAAGGATAGTTTTGTTGAGTTATCCTCACTCCTTTCATCCTTCTGTAAACGGGATAGAGATGCATTTGGTGCCGTTAGTATTCAGAAAATTAAGATTAACTTTAGTTGTCATGTTGAATTAGTGATATGGCCCATTTTTGGAGGAAGAAAGAACATTATGGCTCCTGCTGGGCGTATAAAGATGGCTGGAATGCATTTTGAGATATGATGAAGGTTTGTTTATCAAGAAATGAAGACAAGATTCGTTTAAATAAAGAAAAGAAGATTTTGGAGCCTCTACCAAGATCCTCTTATGCTGAAATCATCCAAAAGATAAATATTTTTGAGGCAGGATTTCAAAGTACACAATGGACACCAAGATTAACAATGGTTGAGAAAAAGTCATTCATGATTCAAAAAGGATGAGCTACTTACCTTTGGAAAGAAAGAAAAAGAAGTTCTTGAGATAGATTGGTGAGAACAGAGAAGTTCATAAGTTATCAGTTGAGTTATCAGATAGATTGGAGACAATATTTGGAGATAACAGAGAGATTGGAAAGAAAGAAATAGTTCTTGAGTTATTTCAACTGAGAAGTTATTGCTCAAGGCATGCATGAACCATCTTCATTTAATCATCCAAATTCAAATGAAGGAATTGAGCAGCCACTGGCAGTCCATGGTGAAACTCATATGGAAAAAGATCCTACAATTCCCAAAAGCAATAAGGACATCAAAATTTCCTTTAATGAAGCGAATTCTTTCTATTATACGAGGAAAGAAGGGCCAATGACCATCAACTCATCGATTACAAAGGATTTTAGGGTTGAAAATCTCCATCTTGATTTAATTGAAGAGAGATGCACGAAATTTTCGAGGCTTCCTGAAAAAGAAAGAGTATCTCAGGAATACAACTCTAAACAGATCATTTACTACACCAACATCACGTTCCATCCAAAGATTTGAATGATGAATCGTAACATGGCGCAAGGAAATAGCCTCTCATTCGAGATTATCAACTCAACAAATGGAATTAACAGCAAGCACTTCTCTCAAAATGATGAGATCGATTCAGATAAAGAATCAGATGTAAGTATCAACAACCTTGATACAAAGCTTTACTCTTCAAAAGCCAAAGTAGACACTGCATAACTACATGAATCAGCATACAAGGAAGTTCTATGTTCCTTATTCCAAGAAGAAGCCATCCCTCAAACAAAGGAAAACATCAAAATATTTAGTGTTGGCAACTCTACTCGTCACCATGTGTGGCGTTTGACTTGGACTTTGACCATTTCTTACATTTGTAGGGAGCGGAACTCTAGGGTTCATGGTGGTCTCGGTCGCCCTCCACTAGTTCTTCATTAGGCTCTTAAGGGCGAGGTTTATTGTGAGTGCACTACTTGGCCAGAGAGTTGTTTGAGTCCACATCCGTTGCTCATTTTGGCTTAGGATTTGTTTCGCTGATTTGTTCTCTCCTTGCTTGGGTTGAGAGCGTGTGTTGTTTGGTTCTAATTTAG